AAAGTGATGTCAGGAATAAATTCAAGCGTTGCCTTTTAATGAAACCCTTCAACTTATATTGACACAAATTGGGTAGCAAATTATTATTTGATTTGTTAATAGACAAGTATTATACTTAGATAAATTACATCGAAACAATAGTTATTTCGTATTTAATAATGTTTGTCAATTAACTTTAATTTATAGAATACGTTCCACTGTTCAAAAGACCCCGTTAGTTTTCCCTTAATATCTGAAGTGATTATTGTTTTTTTTTTTGTTTAGGCCAGGCGGTGATAATAATGTTGGCGGGCTCATATTCGTGCGGACCGGCGTTGTCAATCGTAGCAAAAGTTTTACCTTTGAGACCATGTTGTGGAGAATTTCTCGAGGGAATATATACTTCCGTACTGCCTCTGAAGACAGATCTTTTGAAGACCCCGCTAATAGTGTATGTAGTTCACTGTATTATGCCTACTTTATAATATTTCCAATGTATTACTACTTCAGGTCTCATCTTTGGTTCATAGTTACCAGCATTGGGTCTTTCGTCATCATTCGTCCAATGCACAAAATTTTGTCATTGGTTTAATGGCCAAAACTGGTAAAACAATTCTCTTCGATGAGATATTTTAGAGATATTCTTAACCATAAAATGAGTGATGATTAAAATGTCGAACCCGCGCTCTCCTAATTGGTTTCAAACAGTCATCCCAACTTGATTGTTGCCAAATAACGTGCGTATATTTTATGTGTAAACATTATTCATTACGTTATATCTGCATGACATGGTAAAATGTGAATGTATGTACCAGCTAAAAGCATGTATGTACTTATGTATTGGCACACATCTATCGATAAGATATAAGGTCTTACGAACTCTTTGAGGCACGTTGATATACGATTTAGACAAGACGTGAGGAATGCGATAACAACATTCTCTCGATCGAACCCGATTATAGCTACAATGAAAGCTGTCAAATTACGACAATATAAGTTTCTAAGAACGCAGTATCATTTATTCATTTAATTGTAGAATTATATTTTTCAGCAATTTATGAAAGTTAAATATATTTCAATTAATGGATTCTTTCCCATATAATTTTCGAATTTTTTTTTTACATAAGTTATACAAATGTGTACCGAGGCACACATTTGGGCCCAAACATGAAGGAATCCGTTTACTTTTGAGGTTGTGACAGTAGTATATACATAGCTGCCTATTTACATAGCTAGATAGTGGTATTTCCATAATCTCGCAAATCTACACATTTCAGGGTTCTTTGTCATCCATTCGTAGAAATTTGGTTGCAATATATTATTGATTTAAAATATAATGTTCCGTTTTTGTTTTAAGTAAATAAAGAGAAACTTGAAAATTTGTGCGTTTCCTTAAGGGCTATGCATGTACTCTATGGAGTACGTAAATTTCAAGTATTCGTTGTCCTGACTGCAAAGGAAATTATTTTTAGGGAATTAAATGTTTTTCGTATTTATATGCCAAAACCAATTAAAAAATGATATTGATACCCCAGAAACAACAATCGTATTGCATGGTATAATAATAATAATAAGTTCATGCAGATGGAAGAGGACGAAGTAGGATCTTATTGCACACCCACCACATATTCGAAGATACACGCCATACTGCATTTACTTGACTTCGGTCCGTAAATGCGTTTCAAACCAGCTAACAAGCCGAGAAGAATAAGAAAATAATAATAATAGGATCTTATTGCACACTCACCGCATACTCGTAGATACACGCTGCATTTACTTGCCGAGAAGAATATAGCAAATAATAATAATAATAAAATTCAAAATTAATCATTTAGGCCTTGGGAGAGGCGAGAGTTTAAAATAAATATAATAATAATAACGCACACACTCTTAGCCCCTGTATCGCGGGTGCCATGGACACACACATAGACAACCACAAATTACACCCAAACTCACGAGATAAATAAATGTAGACATACAAATATTTCACCCGGCACGGAAATCGAACCGGGACATCTGCGTGGCAGTCTAGCATGGTAACCGTTCGGCCACCGAATCTGTTAAATCAATTAAAAATTAAAGCCAATTAAATTAAATCATCGCCCTTCTTATGTACATTTGCATTAAACTTAAGTACGACTTTGCAATACAAAAGAAACTCTTAACAATTTGTGTTAAGAGTGTCTTATCAATTTAAGCATTGGTTTAAGATATACTTATGTACATTTGCATTAAACTTAAGTACGTCTTTGCAATACAAAAGAAACTCTTAACAATTTGTGTTAAGAGTGTCTTATCAATTTAAGCATTGGTTTAAGATATACTTAAGGTTAGTGCAAGTGGACATTAGCTTCGTGCACTTAGATAAAATCTTTATTTTACATGTTACTTTATATATATAGGCCAAAAAGCATTATCGGCAGGTAAACACGTCAGTGACACGAGCACTAAGTGCCTCCTTGTGATTGCTATCAGTAAGAATCATAAAAGTTATTGTAAAATCACAGGGCACCTTCGTCCGAAAAGTGGCGTTTTTGGCGGTATGTCAAGGAAAGGCATTATCTACGTTATTGGAGAAAATTTGCACCGCATTTCATGCAAATATGTACCCTTGTCCAAGGACGTTCGCCGGACGAACTGAAATGCTCAACAAGCTTTTGACAAGGCTCAGTGATTTAGATCAAGTAAGTTAAAATGAGCACTCTGCTTCTTAACACATTCGCGCCAGTTACGTACTAAGCTGCCCTAAATATTTGTAAGTGATGTAGAACAACGTACTATTACGTCGTTTAATTTTATTTATTTCATCGTAGAACGTAAGAGACCGCTACTTGGTCATACAAAATCTTAATAGTGACAGCATTGCTCTACAACATATCAAAAAAATGTAGCTCTAGCTATACGCAGTACCGAATTTTCACAGGATAAGTAAGCACTACTCACACATGATCGCTGGTATACACTTGTGCGTCGGCGTGCGATTTATACGACAACGTTTATTGATGTTATTATCATTAGGTATTTCTTACCAATGTAAGAAATACCTAATGTTTCCTATCAATATAGGCTATAGAAGAAACATTTATAAACGTTTGCACTAATGTATGAGAAAAATATCTGCTTCAGTGCACCAATCGGTACAAGCACGATACTCGCGAGAATATGTTAATATTAACGCGTAAGGCCACGTCCGTATCAAATATACATAGTGAAGTGTTAACTAAGAATGTGCTCATCGCAATGCATGGCGTGTGGCATATTGTCTGTTATATGTGTACACGATGTATGTAACGTCCGTCCTCAATCGATAGTGACTAATTTGTGTAACATGAACGCGGCCTCGTAGCCCATCCACAAGTTTTAATCCTTTCGATTTTTAGGTGATAAGAAAATCTAAATATTTTCGATGCAAAACTTTGAAGTCAATAGGCAGACTTTACAATCCATATATAATTAAAGTCAAAAAAGCAAAGGCTATATATCATACGATGAATCGGTTCAACTTGGATATTACGAGGAAATGCCTAATTGGCTACTGTTGGGTTCCAAGAAGGGACTTGAGGAGAGTTCAAGATTCACTTTACAAGTCATCGGTATATTTTTTTCATTTGCTTTTCTTTAGATATGTGTATGATATTAATAGTCAGCATCTACAAATTTTGCTCGACTATTCGTTGTATAAATCAAGTAATATTTAAAGTTTACTAGGAAATTATGGTAAAAACTACCTACTACATGACGAGAATTATGTATTTAACAGGGTACACCCGGGTCAAAAATGTACTCGTTCATAACGGAAGTGGACACTATCGAGCCACCACCAACTTTCCATCGTAACAACAAGTTCACCCGGGGTTTCCAGGCCCTTATAAGCGCTTATGGAGATTCCACTTACAGAGAACTTAATCCAGGTGATATATATTTAACTTATGCGTCTAGTTTCTTTATTACCAACTGATTTTTTTCCAGCCTGTTTTTGGGAATTATGTATTTGAAAGTGACCTAAGTTGTTATATTTTATAAGGCTTCGGGTTTGGCATATACTGTTACAAATTGTTAATTTATCACGTTGATCAGGTATTTTTTTAATTCAACAGGGTTGTATACATTGATAACTTTCCCATTTCTCTTCGCGGTCATGTTCGGGGATTTTGGCCATGGTCTTCTTTTGCTTGCCTTCGGCCTATGGATGGTGGTCAACGAGAAGAAATTTATTAAACAAAACTCTACCAATGAGATTTGGAATATATTTTTTGGAGGTAAATTTGCTGTCTTACTATTGCTTTTCCTTTTTTCCCGCATTGGTGAGAAATTGCCACAATACTTCAACTAATATGCTTTCTCGAGTTTCGCTCTGACGACGTTTTCTTCATCACACACCGTTATTGTCAAAGACATAAATTTGAAGATCGTTTATAAAACTCCCTTTGAAATCTTTATTAAATGAAGACATATTGATTACATTAGCTATACGAATGTTATGCTATACTAGATTCATTTAGATATGACAAGCAAAATAGTGTAGGTATCTCTAATGCCTCGATATACCTTACAGATCAGGTCTGAATGTATGAACGAACGAACGAACGAATGCAACTGCATTGCGTCTGACGACGAGTTGTAGTTGCTTGTACTACCACAAGTGCTCAGCACTCGGTTCTGGAGGCTAGCGATCCAAAGCCCGGTGCACCGCTGGCCGATTGTCGGAAGGTGGGGGCCCAAGTAGCGGGAAAGCCACCCATGAAAGGCTGTCCCGCCTCCAAACGAAAAATCCCGGAATGCTCCACCTTGCCGGTTGGCGACCGGAAGAGAGGACCAGGTGGCCATCTCCGAGGGAGTTCGGGCGTCCCCGCGGTCTCCAAACCGATTGTACCCTCGTGTGGTAGTGTGAGCTTGTTGCTTGGTTGAACACGACCCAGTGCCTCGTTCAACTGCCTTGCTCCTGCCCATTTACCTCAAAACATGAAAAGTCATAAAAAGGAAAAAAACTTTACACAGCGGTTGCACGTCCTCCCACTAAAAGTGCAACCCACTAACATTCGAAGTTTGCACTTAAATCTCGGTCCACTACCACCTTGAAACCGACAAACCGTAGCTGCTGTTCCTCACAGAGACGCAGATCAGATGTCCGACTGACGCAATGTATCTCAGCTACCCCGGATATACTCTGCAGCATAGGTTAGTACCTCGTGCCGGAGTCTGTGTGTACGTTCGTGATGACATCTGTGTCAAGCGTCTCAAGAACCTTGAGGCACCGAGTTTTTCTGTTTTATGGCTTCTGGTTGACACAGGAGTTACAGAAATAAGGTACTGCTGTGTCTACCGCTCGCACAGTGGAGATCAGCAGACGACCAAGTTGTTCCAATGTCTGAGCGAGACGTTTGATGAGGCTCCGCTCAAGTACCCAGCGGCACAAATAGTCATTCTGGGAGACTTTAATGTTCACCATCAAGAATGGTTGTTCCCATACCAGATGTCCGATCACGCTGGGAGAGAAACGTGTAAACTTGCGTTAACGCTAAGCTTTTCCCAGCTCGTCAATACCCAATGGACCCCAAGCTCGTCTATGGTTTAACGCTGATTGTAGTTGTGCTGAAGCACATACACAGTCCGCGTGTCAAACTTGGCCAGATGTTCGACTACGCAAAGCTCCGAGTACTCGGAATTTGAAGAAAGCTTTTAATAAGGCCGCTAAGAAGCGCAAAAGCGTGTTAGGTAGGGCCAAGTTTGACTATGTGCGCGGTATAGGGGCTAAACTTCCCTCTTATCCAGCAGGTAGCAAATCCTTTTGGTCTCTGGCCAAAGTGGTCGAATCTAACTTTTGTCGCCCATCTTTGCCACATGTGTTAAAGCCGGTTGGCTCGTTGGCTCATACTGCGGAAGAGAAGGCGAATCTTTTTGCCTCACTCTTTGCAGAGTTTGCGTCTGGATGCCGCAGGGAACCTACCACCTACTTTACCTCAGGCTGGCTGCACTATGGCGCCAGTTCGCATACGCCAAAAAGAGGTACGGATTTCGACGAAGGCGATCTACTGGGGATCTTCTTGTGTATGCCTGTCACATATGGAGCGAGGCTATAGAAAAGCAAGCACTTGCAGTGTCTTTGGACATTTCTAAAGCCATTGACAGGGTCTGGCACGCAAGCCTCTTAAGCAAGCTTCCCTCTTAGGGCTTCCTATTGACCTTTGTAATTGGATCTCGGATTTCTTGAGCGAACGTTTGATTCGAGTGGTCTTAGAAGGTTAATCTTCCGAACATATGGCGAGAGTTCCTCAGGGTTCCGTACTGTCTGCAACTCTCTTTCTGCTGCATATCAATGATATGTTAATTCCAGGTACCTTTGCGTATGCTGATAACAACACAGTTGTAGATAGGTACTTGACCAACGCCCTTGCATTGGTACTTGACCTATGCAAGGGTCAGTGGAGAGGCAATCCAGTCTTATCGAGAGTCCATAGTTAGCCGTTTAGATTTGACACTCCAGGCAGTCTCCGATTGGGGCAATCTCAATCTTGTCAAATTTAATGCTATCAAAACGAAGGCGTCTCTATTATCCTAAAAACGGAGTCCCTTTGAGCTGACTCAGACTTTTTGTGATATATCAGCTACTTGGAATGGACCTGTCGTCCAATTTGAACTTCGGCAGATACATTGAATCCATGGCCAAAAATGCAGCAAGGAAGCTTGGGATCCGGGGTGAGGCGTCACTTTACACCGGGACAATTGCTTCGACTGTACCAAGCACAAGTCCGGTCGTGCATGGAGTACTGCTTTTTTTTTTTTTTTTTTTTTTTATTGTGACTCGGCAAAATGACTGCACCGCGCCTGATGGAAAGTGCGAATACAGTCCAGAGATGAGAGTAACGGATGGAAAACACAAATATCTTCACTCCGTCACTATCATTTTGCCGGTCTGGCCAAATGCTTCTTCACACTACGTTTGAAGGACCCGATGTTATAGAGGGGAGGGAATACATGCGCCGGGAGTTGGTTCCACAATTTGATGGTTCGGCATAAGAACGAATTGCCAAACTTTTTAGTGCGGGACGGTATTGAACTGACCGTCCAACTGTGGCAACGCAGTCCGGCACGGGTGGTCCGCTGATGGAAAGGAGAGGAAGGGATAAGGTTGAATAACTCTTCAGAGCACTCACCGTGGTACAGGCGATAGAATACGCTAAGAGACGCTATATCTCTGCGAAGCTGTAACGACTCCGCATGCTCAGTTACATGAGGATCGTTGACAACACGGAAGGCGTAGCGCTGCAATCCATCTAGGGCATCGAGCAAGTACTTGGCAGAGCCGTCCCAAAGGTGCGAACAGTACTCCATGCTGCTTCGGACCTGAGCTTTATACAACAGATATCGCAGCTCTGGAGTAAAAAATCGGTGCACCTTGTTCAGGATGCCAAGCTTGCGCGACGCGGTACAGATGACGCTCTCTATATAGTCTTTGTTGCTCATGTCCTTCCGGATGCTCATCCCCAGCAGGCTGAGCTTGTCCTGCAGCGTCAGCGTTGTACCCTGAAGATGGGGAAGTGGAAGGAATGGGGATTTTTTGGAACTGAACGCGCATACCTGGGTTTTCTTGGCGTTGAACTCAACCAAGTTTCGGGAGCCCCACGACGATATATGTTCCAAAACATGGTTGAGCTCAGCGACAAGTTTTTCCCGGTTTCTCTCAGGGTCCTCCCGGCTGCTTGACGGTTGCTTATAATAGCAACCGTGCACTGTGCTATCATCTGCATAGCAATGAATGTTGCCAAAAGGCAACAAGTCATTGATATGCAGAAGGAACAGCGTGGGCGACAGCACGGAGCCCTGTGGCACCCCAGCATTAACTGTCACGAGCCGCGAAGTGCCTCCGTCAACAAGGACACGCAATCTTCGCTCGTGCAGAAAGCCGGAGATCCACTCACAAAGGCGGCCGGGAAGACCATATGCCGGAAGCTTGGAGAGGAGACCACGGTGCCAGACCCGATCAAAGGCCTTAGCAATATCCAGACTTATCGCTAAGGTTTCGCCCTGTTTGTCGATAGCTTCACCCCAGAGATGCATTAGATACGCTAGAACGTCACCCGTTGATCGGTTCGGCCGAAACCCGTACTGTCGATCATTAAGAAGTGAGTGTCGATCATTAAGGAGTGACGTTCCAGGTGCCGAATCCGCTCCATCACTTTGCAGAGCACTGAAGTGACAGCTATTGGGCGATAGTTTGTCGGATCAGACCGATCTCCTTTCTTGGGGATAGGTTGCACGTTGGCCTCCCTCCAAGCTAGGGGCACGTTACCAGATTGGTATGAGAGGCGGTATAAGCGCGTCAGTACGGGAGACAACTCCGCCGCACACCTTTTAAGGACGATAGGAGGTATCCCATCTGGACCATAGGCCTTCCGCACGTCAAGAGTCTGCAGTTCCTTGCGGACATCACATTGCCTGATAACTATATCAGGCATTGTGACTCCGCAGTGGGGAATTGACGGCGGTTGCGCATCTTGGTCGTGAATGCGCGAGTTAGCCCCAAAAAGGTCGGCCAATAAATTGGCTTTCTCTTCGGGGCCATAGGCCAAAAATCCATTGGGACACCTAAAAGGCGGCAGCGACGAACGACAAAAATTGGACTGCACGGCTTTGGCCAGGCTCCAGTAGGCACGGCTACCGGTGGGATGGGCTACCAGCTTCTGGCCAATCCGTGAAACGCGCTGGGCATCCGCTCTTATGTAAGCCCTCCTGCAAGACTTGGTTGCTTTGTTATAGGCTGCTTTAAGGGACGCAAGGTTGGGATCCTTTGTTACACGACCCTTGATCCAACCACGATATGCAGCCTGTTTCTCACTAACAGCGTCCATGCATTCGCGATTGAACCAAGGGCGTCCTCTGCGATTGGCGATGACACTGGAAGACGGTATGTAGTAATTCATAGCCGTTCCAATCTCATCGACAACAGCATCGGCAGCTGCTGAGGCATCCTTTCCCGTAAAGCAGTGCTGCAACCAAGGGATGGACGCAAAGTAGTCGCGCATACCATCCCAATCCGCCGACGAGTAGTGCCAAATGCGACGAGTGACCTCCTTCAGCTTAGTTGGAGGCATTTGGGAAACCTTACACCCAACCAAACAGTGATCAGAACTTCCCAGGGGGGCGCTGACTGATACTGTATAGTAGGTAGGGTGACTCGCGAGCAGAAGGTCAAGCAAAGAGGGTGCATGATCCGATATGTCTGGAACCCGGGTGGGCTGGGTTACCAGTTGGGTCAAGTCATGCGTGACAGCGAAAGCGTGGGCAGTTCTTCCTGCATGGTCAGTCTTGAGGGAACTTAACCATGATTCATGGTGAGCATTAAAGTCCCCCAACACGACCAGTCCTCCATGCAGAGCAGACGGCGACTGCTGCTATCTTTGGGATGGCTCTGCTACATATCAACTGGTCACTTTGGATTCAATTGACAACCGTGTCAAGAGGCTTTTAGGTGACTCGAAATTAGTAGAGGTGAAGCTGCAGAGACTTAACATCGCCGTAAAGTTGTCTGCTTATCGGTATTTTACAGGATATATCACGGAGAGAGTGCGATATAATTACAAGATTTAATTCCGTCTTCCTCTTTCCATCACCGGGGGACTAAGCGTAAACTTGGTTTCACCCATTTTTGGCAAATTCAATATTATTGTATTACTTAACACAATATTATTGTATTACTTAATTACCAGATGAGATATATTCGTACTTTTGTTTCTCATTGGATACGGATTATAAACTATATACTAAAAGATCTTGTAAAGTTTTTAAAGTCAAAATCCATTTAGGAATAAGAATCACGTAGGTGTAAATGATGCGAATATATCTTATTGTGTCCTACAGCCCTTAATCCTTTTAAATGTATTTTATAAATGCAGGTAGATACGTAATTTTCATGATGTCGCTGTTTACTATGTTCACGGGTTTCTGTTACAACGATTTCTTTGCAAAGTCCCTAAAATTTGGACCTGGTTATTGGGTAAATCAGTACACGCCACAAGAATTGGCCGCCAGTGAACAATTGCAACTAGACCCGGCCTTGCTAACCGGCACTCCTTATTGTTTTGGCAAAGATCCTGCTTGGGCTGTGAGTTACTCTAATTGGTTTATTATGAACGCATTGTTTACTTACTTTATGGTTTAGATACATGAAAGCGCTGCGACGTAGTTAGACACCTTTATTACATAATGCAAATATGCGAATTGATATTCGGTTATCATATGCCTAGGCGCTTTTATTTTGTGCTCTCTTAGCAATGTCACCATTACAATATTTTCGACTATCTCTGCCCAGCAGTTAACATTTTGGACGCTGGGGGCATTGGATTCCTGGTGAGATAAATTTAAGAAACTGATATTTCGAACTTAGTTCTGGGGGTCTACTATCTACTATGAGCTTATAAGCAGCCAGCCAAGTTTCATGCAACTCTCTTGACATGGTAAAACTAAATTGCTTAAATTCGTATCATGACCTACACAACGTTGAACGGGAATGGCATGACAGGATGATGAGTTTTACTTTTTAAACGTTAATTATTGTCTCTGACTGGTTAGCTGACATCTCACAAGAGCGAGATGGAACTACATACTAAATCATATGAAAGAAATACACAGATGTACTATCCTGGGAGCGTTCAAGCACTATTAACCGATTGTGTTCAAAATGGGAATAATTATATTTTTTTATTAATTTTATTATTGATTATACTTACTACGTTGTTTTGTACTATCGGCAATTTTCCAATCATACTTTACAATTTGTTGTGCGACAAAAATACATGCCATGTCTAGTCGTTATTATTGTAATTATTAATTAGAACGTATTTGTATTCATATATTTTTATTGATCGCATTAAAGTCAAATCTGGCACTATTTAAAAGTTATTTTACGATTTTCAGTCAATAAAATTATTAAAAAGATTAAAATTCCATTAAAAAATTGTAATGACATTCATTCTAATAATTTATCAACAGTACTTTAAAGATTGGGAAGTGAACTAAAATTAAAAAAAAAAACTCTCAATAGTTCATAGTATTTAAATAGGCTAGTACTATTATCATTGATTTATTGACAATTGGCTATATAGCCTAAAAAGATAACAAATAATTATGAAACTGAAAATATAATAAAAGTTGAACGAAATTTCTTTAAAATGTAACAAAACCTAAAAAAGTTAGTCACGGAGTAACTATGATACGATTTTGCTATGAAAGAAAAGGCGAACGGATTGCGAATGGGGAACGTAAACTGCATGGACAGTGAATAGTTTTTGTGAGGTCATAGTACGAATTTCACAGGCAATCCAACTTACAGGCTTAAATAGGATTCCTCTAAGAGCTTATAGTAGGCCCCTGATCTGTCCACATTCTAAACGCAACTACATAATGTACCGTGAGATGTATTTACGTAATGCATAACAAAATCATAATATATGTATATTTCATTTACAGTTAGCGAAAAATAAGATTTTAAATGAGAATTCTCTGAAAATGAAAATGTCTATAGTACTCGGAATAGTACACATGGTATTTGGATTAACTTTGAGCCTCTTTAATCATATGTAAGCACGATTTTTTAATAAGCAAATGTACTTAGTTGTAATATGCCATAAATGAATTAAAATGTTTCGTAATTCCGTGCATTTTGCGACTAATAACAAAAAATCGTTTTTAAAGAAAATGTTCTTTCCCAACAAAACAGTTGTCATCATATAAGCAGATTTTGAATATGTATATAGTTTTTAACATAATTTTGTCTAAAATACATTCGCAAATAATAATGGGAAAAGTCCATTTCATAAATCGTTTTGCACATACAATGTGATTATAAGTATGTTCCAATGCAATCCATTATACTTACTATTGGTAAAAATTCTAATGCAATCACTCCATAAGTGGAATAATTAAAACTTTCACGTATATTTTGAAAATTTCACCTTGATATCTCATTACTATTTCTAATAATATTCATTTTAATAACATCTCAAAATCGAATTTGCAAAATGTGATACCAAAACTATTTTTCTCTTAGTGAAAATTGTATAAAGGAATGCAATGAAAATATTTTCAGAAATAGGTAATTGGACAATTTTTCAGAAAGTATTTAAAATGAACGATGATGGTTATACTTATACAGCCAAGAAAATAGTGCTTATGTTAAATAAAGCTTTTCAAGTCACCAAAATTTTTGCGCAAATGGCATTTCATGTTAACTTGGAAAGCGTGATGTTTTTGGTAGGTAAGAAACACCTGTCACTTCCGAGAATTGTACTTCTTGATCGACCACTGTTGTTGGACATTTTTTATCATGAAATTCAAAACGAATATATTTTTTATTCCACCAACAACTTGACATTGCTCTCAACTGCCTCAGTGGCCGAACAGTTACTACCCTGGTCTGCCATTCAGAGGTCCCAGGTTCGATTCTCGGACCGGGAGAAATATGTGCATGCCTTGCATTTATTTCTCTCGTGAGTTTGGGTGTTTTATGTGTGTGTTCTTGACATCCGCGACACAGGGTTTTCCTAGTGTAACGCATACACTCATAGGAGTATGCGTTAAAAAAAATTGGCGACATTCGCTATAATTTTTTTTTCAAACTTCACGCTTCACGCAGACACAAAACACAAAATAATTATGCTAACTGTAAATACCTTTGTTTACCCACGTGTGACGTCATGGTGTGTTTGGTGTTAGCATGTCAGATTAATAATATAAACTGTGTTTAGCTTTAATTAATTAATTAAAGTATACAAATCACTATTTCACAAAAATATTGAATGAGCGGTAGTTTTTATTTTACAAACACATTCTAACTACATTTTAGATTCTTTTTCTGATTATTGTTCGATTGTCTATTAAACTTTCGAAGTAGTTTAGAGAATTTATAATTTATTTTGAATTTGAATTTTACATTTTCATGTATAAGTCTAGAGTTTTTTTTAATGGTAAGTATTAAGCCTCACGTGCTTTAGAACTTTACTTCTTTTACTTTTATTTTCGTCACTGTTTTAGATTTTGTAAAAATATGTTTGCGATTTTGCTTCAATTTGTACCAGAAATTGTATTTTTGCTTTGCCTTTTTGGGTGGCTAGTATTTCTGATATTTTGGAAGTGGCTATCATTCAGCGCTAAAAGTGGTAAGTTTGCAATTACTATTCTAATTTAATACTTACTTAACTAAAGCTTTCCTCTTTCAAATAGTTTATTGCATAGTCACATGATAACAACATATTGACAATATTTTTTAAAATTATAGTAGGTACATGGATACTCTGTAATTTGGGTGGCGTTATACTAAATATTTTTTAAAATTATAGTAGGTACATGGATACTCTGTAATTTGGGTGGCGTTATACTAATTTTCTAAATTTTATTGCTTGCTAATATGATAAAATACAGCAAATAAATAAACACTCAAACTATTTATTTTTTTATTGCCTATATAATTTAACAATTAATATCATTCATAGTAGTATACGGTTGGATTATGCTGAGTGTTTTTTTTTTAAATTGGACTAAAAATTAAAAAAAAATAGTATATAAATTGGACTAAAAAGAATTAGTCAATTTTGTATGAAAATTCATTTATCATTTGAGATTAAATTTGGCCAACTTCTGCTATCCCAATTTTTTTTCCTTCCGGTACAATGAAATCATGCTTGTAAGAAATTCAGTCTTAATATTTTTTTAATGCTAATGCATTAAAAAAAATAATCAAGTTTCGTATGAAAAAATACAAATTACTCTCTCTCTCTCTCTCTTTCTCTCTCTCTCTCTCTCTCTCTCTTTATCTATCTCTTCGTCTTTGTGTTTGTGTGTGTGTGCGCGTGTATGCTTTCATGTATCGTGTTATTTTATCGTGTAATATAATAATCTAAACACCCAATACAAAACAGTGAACTCTAAAAACTCAATAAAGTCAACATTCTATCTACCTACTACATGAGTAAAGAAATTACGCATGTGGTGCGACTCGTCGAAATCAACCCAAACGAGCACAAACTCGGGTGCGTTTACCTTTTTAGATTAGTTCCCGTGTCCACCTTCTTGCTTCTGTAAGCGTGCACTCATCAAGAACAATTTAAAGAGCCCAAATTCCATAGTTCTGCTGTAAGTACTTGAGGAGTTGAGTAGTCCGCGAATTGTCCCGGTTGTAGCATCAGGTCAAGGTTACGACATTACTCTAGTGTCATCGGATTAACTAGGAATAGAGCTGATTATCTTTAAGCAGCTTAGCAAGTGTTCCTCAAATATGACTAACAATCATCTCGTTTAAATTAGCCTTTAAACAAAAAGCTTATATATCAGTCCTTTCGTTTGGGAACTATGTAACCACGGACAGATACACAATTACACAGACTCTTACTCAGACTCAGAGCTTCAAACTTAAACGAAAATTTATTATTTATGACGAAAAACTGTTTATGATTAATAACTGATCGACGATCACCTCCCCGCTTATAGTGATACCGCTGACAGATATACAGGCATACAGACAAAGGTTTCAAACTTATACGAAAATTTATTATTTACGATGAAAAACTGGGGTGTACCACAATCTCTTAAAACAATATTACTTTAACCTTAGAAATAATAACGCATAGAAACCTAGCCCGCACACGCTAAGTGAAGCAAGTTAGAGGCTTCCCAAAGGGCCTACACTAGCGGGCGGGCTGTCAGTGCTTAAGGTCAAATTGCACCGCGAACAGCTCAAAAATTTTTGCTAATAATGACGAAATGTGCGGTAAATGGATGTAAAAATAGAACAGGCAAGCATAAAATAGACACAATCATCACATTCCACAAGGAAGTAACGCGTTTCAAGTTGTAATTTTATATAAATATTCACTAAAACCGAAAATTAATTTCGTTGCAATAAGACACGAAAATGTTGCAAAGTAACGGATTTCCTTCTCCCAATTTTGCTATTCTGTTTCAAAATAATTATATTACGTAATTTTTTGAGAATAGGCAATATCGCGACGGCTGCAGATTTTTTTTATTCTAATGTAAGTGTACATTTCACTTCCATTTCTGCAAGTTAAATACGTACAAATGTTGTTTACAAAGAGCAACCCCTAGAGTTTCTTGCTCATACTTCTCGGGGGAATGTGCCTAACGAATGAGCGGTAGAGTTTAACCAATGTGACGATTTCTAGTGTAATAACGCTTGCCTATGAAATAAAGATTATTTTGATTTTGATTCTGCGTATCGTTTACGGGGTATATGGGGGTGCTCATTACGAATATAGTACTTATTTCTAAATCGAAGATGGCGGACACAATTAAAAAAAAATGCAATTTGGGTATCCTTTTCGAGGTATTTGGGGATGCTCATTATGAATATGGCACTCATTTCTAAATCCAAGATGGCTGGCGCGATTTTACGAATAATGGCAAGTTGGGAACCATTTTCGAGATATTTGGGGGTGCTCATTACGATTTATTTATTTTATTATTTGTAATTCCAAGATGGCGGACACGATTTTTCAAAAATATGCTATATGGGTATCATTTTCCCGCCATCTTGGATTTAGAAATGAGTGCCATATTCGTAATGAGCACCTCGAATACCTCGAAAATGGCTCCCATATTGCATTTATTTGAAAAGTCGTGACCGTCATCGTGTATTCAGATATAAATGCCATTTCCATAAGGATTACCAAAAATAAATTTTTAAAAATTCTTGTCACTTGACATTGTCGATCGACAGTAACGATCGACAAAACCGAGCATATCTGTAGCACCTGATCGACATCGACATTGTCGATCGACAAAATCGGGCAAATCTGTAGGCACCTTTAACTTAATGATGAGTTACGCAAGATACAATTTTCCCACTTTTGAGGGAAATGTTATTCCATGGCATCATTATTTGTATATTTGTGTGCGTGCCGACGAGCATAGATACAAGTTGCTTACGCCTACATGAATTTGGTTTTTGCCTCACTTGTGACAGTTCGTTTGATATGAAACTATCATTATATGCGTTATTATTCTAAGACTTTAACCTTACATTGACTTTTCGTACCATAAGCTTATTATAATATTAAAATATGATGTTTTATTGCTAGCTTTGTGACTATACATTCACTTAGTTCGTACTGTGACGCGACTTTAACATTAAAGTAATATGCTCTTATGTCAAATTTAGCAATCTTAAAATAGTTACACGGATGCAATGGAAACAATATTATTTTCAGTCTTATTGTTTGAATATTGATTTGAAATGATTAAAAATTAAGTTGAACTTATTTTTTTACATATATCTCTTCAATATTCTATTTATTTTTTGTCTAATAGCACATAGGAAATAATTTCTCGTTAAATAAAAATACGCGATGTTTATTTCATAAAATTATGACAACGCCATCTATATGCTCCTTGGCGAAACTAACAGTTGACACTAGACTATAATTCCGAATTCACAACGTGACAGTCAAGACTCAGCTTGTTTTATTTATTTTTCGTCATGAAAATGCGGAAAAATATTTGAAAATGATTAATTTTAATAGATTTAATTATTACATACTTTTCTTTTTTTAGCAGTTAAAATTCTCTGAATGTAAATAATATAAAGTACTCTAACATTATACTACGATAGGACGATTCGGAACTTCAAAAAAGAAAGAGGTGGCATTATACAGTTCATATGGCGTTATTTCTTTCCTATTTTTAGTATAGACAATATTGGGAAATCATTCGTTCTTTCAGTCACTTTAGCAATAATACATTACTTGGTTGATAAATCTGGCATGGTACGAATATGAGTAATATTATAATAAGCTTACTATAAGCTTATATTGAAAGTAGATTGTTTTTTGAAAGGTTAAGGTAGGCCCCTTATTGAATTTATTGTTTCTGAAAATATTCTCCGTTAGCGTTAATGCACTTTTTCATACGAATGAACCAATTTTGAAAACATTTATGCCACTCCTCCGTGACAATCTCTGAAACATATTTTTCATACTCTTCGACAGCCTCTTCAGGTGATGAAAATCGTCGACCGCGTAACTGGTTCTTAATTTTTGGAAATAAATAAAAGTCACAAGGTATCATGTCGGGACTGTACGCGGGATGGCTCATAAGGTCAACGTTGTTCACCTTCAAAAATTCATTTATCTGTCTGGCCGTGTGAGAACTGGCATTATCGTGGTGCAAGATGATCCGGCGTTTACGGTTATTTTTACGGAGTTTGTCAATAACTTCCGGCAACTAAATGACCGTGTACCAATCATTATTCACGGTACAACGATTCTCCAAAGCAACAGTAGCCACGTGTCCAGTTTTATTAAAAAAAGAAGCAATCATCTGCTTAGAGGCACTTTGTACGCGTTGTATTTTGGTTGGTTTCGGCTCATCTCGAAAGACCCATACGCTCGATTGCTGCTATGTTTTGAGATCGTAACTATAAATTCATATTTCGTCACCTGTTGCTATGTCCCACACCAAATTTCACGCCTCTTCGTTGAATCTGGTAAACGAACGAAAAACGATCCGTTTTTTGAGCCTCACTCAAATTGTGTGAGATCCACCGAGAGCACAGCTTTTTCATACCCAAATGTTTGTGTAGTATTAATTGTATTTGATTCATGCCTATGCCTAAAGATGCCCGAATGTCATGGTATGTCACATGCCTGTCTGTTTTGATCATACGACGCACAGCATCGATGTTTTTGTTGTTCACAGCAGTGGACGGGCGATCACCACGAAATTCGTCACTGAGATTCACACGACCGCGTTTGAATTCTACAAACCAGCTGTAAATAGTTGTTTTGCATGGTGCTTCATCGCCAAAAACAGTTTGAAGCCGAGCGAAGCTCCGCTGAGCTGTTAAATTGCACCTAAACTCGTAGAAAATCATACTACGAAATTTTCACGAGTTAAATCCATGGTGATGTAGACAATCAATTTCTAAAATGACGTCACAATGTAAAAACAAGTGACAGTCAGATGAAACAAACTGTATTCTACAGCCAAATAGTTCCATTTTCAAATGTTGTAATTACTTTTTAAATATTGTTTATGTAAGTGGCCAATTTCGGAAACTTATAGTGCGCCCTATGTACGAAAATTTATTATTTACGATGAAAAACTGTTTATGATTAACTGTTAATGACTTTGATTGATGGTCTCCTTCATGCTTATTAATTTATCTTATTGGTGAATAATTTTTAGGGGATCTCAAGTCTAGACCCGGATGCGCACCCTTAATTCTAATCCACTTTATCGACATGTGTCTTATGAGAGAGACTAAATCCCAAGATCCAAATTGTAACGCTTATTTCTTTCCAATGCAACATTTGATACAGCAAATACTGTTACTAGTCGCGCTATTTTGTGTGCCTGTACTACTGCTCGGAACGCCAATATTTACAATTATTACTAATCCGAAGAAAAGGGTTGAAGCACTAGTAAGTTACTTATTTTACTAGCATCTTTGCATAGAATCTTATGCCTGCTTCTGGTAGAAAATTACCTTAGATAATGTACAATTTAAAATAAAAAAAAAGTTACGTAACACATGTAGCGTATGCAATTTGTTTAGTTGTTTCACTATAACTAGATTTTCTGCAAAATAAGCTACTTTTATACATTACAAGGAAATTAAGGTTATCAGCGCAAAAGTATAAAATTGAGGTATAACAATGTTTTTCTACGAGATTACTTCAAGTGATACTAAAGTATATGCTTATATTTGGATGCAGCTTTCATGTATAAAATACATGAATTGTTAATTTTTTAATACATGAATAGCATCAAAATATAGAAAACTTATGTGAGTACTTTAGTATCATTTAAAGTAACATTGAAGAAAAAAATAGTGGGTTACACCAGTTTTGCGCTGATAGCCTCTGCATAAGTCGACACTGTCATAACTGCGGGCATGGATTCATACCTATGTATGATGTTATGATTATATATATGTATTTTTTAAATATCTTAAAATATCCAAGCCAAGAATTCTATTCTATTCTGCAAATTGTTTTAAAATTTTAAATTTTTTTATTTTCAAATTTCAAAGTCAAATAATTTATTTGCACAGTAAAATTATATAAAATACAATTTAAGTTGGTAGATTGTTGTAAAGCATCATGTGATGATTTTTGTTATAATAGACTAGTAAATTTAGACCTACAAAATAATTATTTCAAACAATTCCAACGAATGCATTAAATTGGGATTCCATATAGGTAATTTATATTCGTTTTATAATTCGAATTCTATTCAATTCTACAAATTGTTTTTGAAAGACAAATAACTTATTTGCATGTTACAGTAAAAGTATATAAAATAATAGGGGTTAAAGTATGAAATTGCCGATTTGTACTGAAAATCTAAATTGCTTATTTTTTAAATTTTTAACAAATTTATTTAATCAAAATAGTTGCCA